TCAGGCCATGGAGAGGGAGAACTAGGCTCTTGAAAGGAAGAGTATCAAATAATTTGAAGATGTATTTGAAAACCACCACAATCATCATGGAGCTTTTGAAATGATTTAATGAAAGATACAACATAAATCTTTTAGTATATTGCTAGGCACAGACAAGTGCTCTTTAGTGTTAGCTACTACCTGCTACTCAGTTTCATTAAATTATAGGTGACTTCTACTTTACTAGGAATGTGGGAGTCCAACTGTAATGCCTCCCTTTTTTACTCCCCCAACTACATTAGGTTTTACTATATATGGTCATAGAATCTGTTCATCAAAGCTTTTCAGACAGCGCTTAGGAATATATCTCCCTACTAATGCTGTCCTAGCTGGGATCTACTTGAATCTCTGTTTGATCCTTCTCTTTTGAACACCTACATTTTGCAAATTATACTACAGGAAACTTTCAGTTATATACCTCATCCACGATATTTGCCATCTATATCTTTTATGAAGTGTCCATTCAGATTTTTTACCCATATTTAAGTGGGTTTTGAGAATTCTTTATGTATTTTGGGTAAATGTTTATCAGATGTCCTGTATGTATTCTCCCAGTCTATGTTTTCTCCCAGTCGGCTCATGGAGATTACTGTTTGCATCCCAAGTGTCTAGACTCAAAGCTTGTGGCACATAGCGGTCACTTAGTACTTAAAACATTTTTTAAATTAAGATATAATTTATATGCAGTAAAACTTACCCTTTTAATATGTAGTTCTGAGTTTTGACAAATGCATACCTTCATGTAACCACTACCACAATCAAGAATGCATTACTTCAAAAAATATTCCATGTTATTTTGTAGTACTTGTTCCTCCTACCTCTAACCTCCAGGCAACCACCGGTTTATTTTTTGTCCTTCTAGTTTTACTTTTCCCAGAAAGTCATATAAATGACATCATACAGTATGTAGCCTTTGAATCTCGCTTCTCTTACTGAGCAGAATGTGTTTGAGATTCAGCTATATTTTTGTTGCTGAGTATTATACTGTGTGGATGTACCACAGTCTGTTTATCCATTCACATTTGGGTTATTTCCAGTTTTGGTAATTATGAATAATTGCAATAAGCATTTATCAATGGGATTTTGTGTGAATAACAAATTTTTATTTCACTTGGGTCAGTACCTAGAAGGGGGAGGTTGTATGGTAAGTGTAGGTTTAATTTATAAGAAATGGCTAAAGTATTATCCAAAGTAATTGAATTACTTTTCATTCCTACTATTAGTGTATGAGAGGTCCAGTTGCTCCACATCCTTGTCAGCACTTGGTATTGTCAGTTCAAAAAAATTTTTTTTTAAGTAATAAATAATAGCCATCCTGACAGGTATGAGGTGATATTTCATTGTGGTTTTATTTGCATTTCTTTGATGACTAATGATATTGAACACCTTTTCATGTACCCGTTGGCCATTTGTATGTCTTCTTTTGAGAAAGCTATTTAGATACTTTGCCCATTTTTCATTTGGGTTATTTTTGTTCATGTATTGTTTTCCTGATTTCATTGAATTATCTGTGTTTTTTGTAGCTCTCTGAGCTTTTCTTTTAAAAATTGCTTTGGATTCTTTGTCAGAGATCTTGTAGATTTCCATTTCTCTTGTGTCAGTCACTGTAAATTTATCATGTTCTTTTGGTGGTGTCATCTTCCCCTGATTTTTCATGTTCTTTGTATCTTACATTGGTGTCCTCACATTTAAAGAAGTAGCAACCACTTTCATACTTTGTGGAGTGACTTCTGTAGCGAAAGATCTTCACTTGTAAGTGGGTGTGAGGGACCAGGCTCCTGGGCTGTACTGTTGTGTCTAGTGTGATGCTGGGTCCAGCATCATGTGGGGATGCCAGTTCCGGGCACCAGCTCCAAGGCTGTACAGGGGCACCAGATACAAGGTGTGCATGTGCAGTGTTGCCAGTGCTGGAGGAGTGTATGTAGGCACTGGTTACAGAGGGACACAGTGGCATGGGCTCTGGGAGTCTCCAGAAGCTGTGGTCTACACCAGTGAAAAATTTCTTTTATTTTACCTATTTAGTTATGGAGTGGTATTTCATTGTGGTTTTAATTTGCATTTCTCTAGGAATTAATAATGGTGTCTCTTTATGAGCTTATTTGCCATCTATATCTTTTATGAAGTGTCCATTCAGATTTTTTACCCATATTTAAGTGGGTTTTGAGAATTCTTTATGTATTTTGGATAAATGTTTATCAGATGTCCTGTATGTTTTCTCCCAGTCTAGTTTGTTTTTTCATTCTCTTAACATAGTGTTTTTTGAAGAGAAATTCTTAACTTTAATAAGGTCCAGTTTATCATTTTTTTTCTTTTATGGATCTTCCTTCTGATGTTATATCTAAGAAATCTTTGCCCAACCCAAGGTCACAAGATTTTCTTCTGGAATTGAACTAAACTGAAAAGAATTTTTTATTACCCTGTGAGTCCTGGGGTTACTCCACCATGTAGGACATGTCTCTTCACCATCCCTAAGGAGACCACTGGTGACCTTCGCTCTATAGATTTTGAGCACCCCTACTTCCACCTGGGTTATTCTGGCCACATCAAGTCAGGGCCTCTTGCCCTATCTTCTCATCCATATCAACAGTTTGGGAAGAGCAGTCTGTTACTAAGAACACAAGCTCTGGAGTTTGACCTCTTTTGTTCAAACCCTGGATCTGCCACTTATTAGCTGAGTAGTTCTGGCCTACTAACTTAAACTCTCTGTGGTTCAATTTTGTCATCTACAAAATGTGGGTATAATAGCACTCGCTTCACTGTGAAGATTATGTGAGTTAATAGGTGTAAAATTCTTAGAATAGCATCCTTCACAAGGTAAAAAAGCTCAATAAACATTGGCTGTTGCTAATATTAGAATATCATGAACATCTTCTTTGCACTGTGCATTTACCACATTATATTATCTTAATTGTCACAATAACCCTGGATGTAGATGTATCCACATTCAGCAGAAAAGGAATCTGAGGCTCAGTGACACTGAGTAATTTGCCTGAGGATGGCCATGATGAGATTTGAACCCAGGTCTGTCAAAGCCTCTCTTCATTGCAGCATGATTCACTGTTTCCTTGATAGTAAAGCCCTTTACAGTACTTTTAAAAAACAAGGTACCTACTAAGTGGTTATTTTACACAAGTGATTACTATTCAGTTTCTGCTTTACATTGCTGAAATTTAAATCTGAGCTGAACATGGAGCCCAAGTACAGAGAGCACCAAATATAAATTGTCATGATATAGGCTAAAGAATTGTCCAGTGACATCTAAATCTCATCTTTTAATTTGTTTCCCAACAGGCTGTTATAACGGGTTAATTTATGTTCTGAAAAGTCATAATGGAGAAAAATACTGGATGTTTACTACTGAGAATGCTGTCAAAAGCTCAGCAACCGTGGATCCAACCACAGGACTCCTTTACATTGGATCTCATGACCAGCATGCATATGCTTTGGATATTTATGTAAGAATTTAGTAGAAGAGCCTGAAACTGTCAGGTGCTCTTGACCAGGGGAGCACATGTTAATGACTTTCCAAGTTTAGCATTGTGGTCTGGGAAAATAAGGAACTAATTAACATAAGGAACTTAGAATTACCGTCTTGACAAAAAAAAAAAAAGTCACAAAGGAAAATATCAATAAGACCTGATTACATAAAATAAAAAGTGGAATTACAAAAATAAAAAATAAATTGGAGGAAAATTTGAAACAAATGCGACAGAGTTAAAACTCATAAGTATAAATGAAAATAGCAACCACAAGTTAATAAAAATATAAAGATCCAGGTAGAAAAATAAGGGATGTAAATGCTTAAGACCTCAAAGAAGAAGTGGCTAGTAAATGCATTTCAATGTTTCATACTTTTTAGTCCTCTTTCTGCCATCTTTCCATGCCGCTATAATAGTGCGCATGAACATCCTGGCTGATGCACTCAAGAGCATTAACAATGTTGAAAAGAGAGGCAAATGCCAGATTCTTATTAGGCCATGCTCCAAAGTCATCGTCCGGTTTCTATGATGATGAAGCATAGTTACATTGGCGAATTTTAAATCATTGATGATCACAGAGCTGGGAAAATTGTTGTGAACCTCACAGGCAGGTTAAACAAGTGTGGAGTGATCAGCTCCAGATTCGATGTGCAACTCAAAGATCTAGGAAAATGGCAGAACCACCTGCTCCCATCTTATAAGTTTGATTTCATTGTACTGACAACTTCAGCAGGCATCATGGACCATGAAGAAACAAGACGAAAGCACACAGGAGGGAAAATTCTTTTTCTAAGGATGTAATACATATGTTCAAATAAAATGCCTCAATGGAAAAAATAAAAATAAATGTTTCATACTTATAATAATCAGGAATGAAAATTAAAAACTTCAAGAGGAAAGAATGATATCAGATTAGAATGAGAACACTAAATGCTGCGGAGAGTTTTGGGAGGTTGTAACTAATAAAGCCTCTGAGGAAAAGTTTGGCCATTGGTAACAATTTCAGATCCTTTGATTCGGTAAAATTCTTCTAGGACTCTATCCTGACAAAAAAATCGGAAACATGGACAAATATATGCACCAAGATGTCTATTTTCTAAGTTGTTTAACTTAGTAATATTTAAAGAGATTTAGCAAATAAACGAGCTAAATTTGATACCAAGTATATATTCAGAATGATCTCAACTATATTAAACTATGTGTGTGTGTACCAAGGAAAAATGCTAAAATGTTAACAGTCGTTATCTCTGGGCGGTGGCCTGTCTTCTTTATACTAACTTGATTCTGCACAGTGAACATGTATTTTTATATTATTACTTGTATATTCAAAATGAAAACTTACTAAATAGATATAACATACGAGGGATAGAATATGTGAATTTGTTAACCACCAACAGAAACCAATTAATTTGCTTTCTTATTTTCAGAAAAAGAAGTGTGTTTGGAAGTTAAAATGTGGAGGAACTATCTTTTCTTCACCTTGTTTGAGCTTGATTCCACATCACTTGTATTTTGCTACTCTGGGAGGACTTTTACTGGCTGTACATCCAGTAGGCATAAAATAATGTTTATTGATTTTATTACCTATTGTTCTTTATTTTATTTTTGCTTTTAATCCTGAAAAATTGAAGTAGTTTCAGTTAGATATAGTCCTGATATCACTGAGCAAGAACTCATTAAAAATGATTGACGTAAAGTCTAGAAAGATGAGAAAAATCAACTAAGTTTTGTGCACATCTTTTATTATTTTTTTTAAATTGACAGAATTTTCTCAGTCACATTAGAAGTTAAAATGGTTAGAAATTAAAAATTAAGGATAGATCTTAATGTGTGTTATTTCTTTCTTGGTTTTGTTGCAGCTAAGATTTGTTTTAATCTTAGCTTGCATAAATAGCACTGATTAATTTTATAGCTCTGTATATGTGTACTAGCTTCATTTATAATGTCAGCATGTCATTATAGCATTTTCTGATGTTGATAGCTTTTCCTCCAGGACATTTATGAGTTTGTTTTTTAATAAAGGATAATTGATTAGAATGATTGAAATGCTATTGATTGCCTTTTGCCCATGACAGGCCACTGGGAATAGAGTTTGGAAACATTCCTGTGGGAAACCACTCTTCTCCTCTCCACGGTGTTGCCTACAGTTCGTTTGTATTGGCTGTGTAGATGGGAATTTACTTTGCTTCACTCATTTTGGAGAACAGGTAAAAATTTTTAGTTCTGTTTTATATATCTTTCTCAAAGGCACAGTAGTTGGTGACAAATGAAGTAAAATTTTAAACATCATTATTCAACTCGTTTTGAAAACTAGTTCTGTTTTAATTGTGAAGCCATGGGTTTCTTAATTTGTAAATGATGCTGTAGTAGATTTAAATGATTCTATCCAAACACTGATATTTTTGTCATTTCCCCTTCCCCAATTAAAAAAAAATTTACCAGTCTTACAGCCATGCTACCCTGAACAAGCCGGATCCCATCTGATTTCGGAAGCTTAGCAGGATCGGGCCTGGTTAGTACTTGGATGGGAGACCACCTAGGAAGACCAGGTGCTGTAGGCATAAAAATTAAAAAATAAGGGATTGTAAGCTGACAAAGTCCTTGCTATCTGAGGTCAACCAAGGGTTGCCTCGCCTAAAAAAAAATTTACCAGTTTTTAGCCAATTTTATTGTAACTTCTACTGAGCTTATGAAAATTTAAAGGAGCCCCGCTTTTCCTATGAAAACAAAAGTCTGTTGTGTAACCCAATTCCATTGTACGGAGGTCCTACCTTCACCTTCATGACTGGCAGGGTAGGCTCCTTCTGGGTTACAGTAGATCTTTTGTTGGGAGCAGAATCTCTACTTCTTTAAGTACCCACAGTTGATTGTCATATATGGCACAACTTCTGTAGCAGTGTTGATTTGGGAGAATTCTTTGTGGACTTGAGAGTGTTACTAGCTCCAACCTAATTAAGCCCGTTGATGGCTAGGGTTGATTCTTTATGCTCTTTAGTCTACGTTCACCCCTCATTGCCTAGCAGTTTCTTTTGCTTTGTGTGACAGTTACTTTTTGACAGAATCTTTTATTTTATTCACTTAATATTTTTATTTACAAAGCAGTTTGAATATATTGTCACCTTTAGATTCCTAAGAAGTGAGAAGAGGCTAAATGCTATTACTCCTATTTGTTTGGATGAATCATAGAAAGATTAAAATGGCTTTGTCCAAGTCAGGGACAGAATTGAGATTATAAGTCGTATTTCATGAATATGCCCACTCTTTATTTTGTTTGTTTTTATAATGCTGTTACTGTGCATTCATAAACACTACCTTAGACTTGTGCCTTTTCTTCCATGTGTCTTTTCCTCAAAATATTGGCCAACAGGTTTGTTTCTAGTCATAGCTTTGAAATCAGCAGATAGTATATATCCATAGGGAAGATGCACATCTCATAGCTTTTTGTTTAAAGCTTTAATTTAAATTATTACACATAAACTCTTCCTTTTAGCCTACTTCCTTCTCCCTACATTAAGAAATTGTAGTTTCTAATAAACAGTACTTAGGATACATTGAAAATGCAATGCAGTTTTGTTTTTGAACTCAGTCTCTGAACATACTAGTAATAACTCGAAAATGGGGTTATATCAGTTTTACTTCATAATATTATGCATAGCAATGACTGATATAATAAGAACATTTGGTATAATTTGTGCTAGATTTTACTTCTGGGACAGAGGTCTAATATGAGGGTGCTACTTTTCAGATAAAGCCAATTTTTTCTGTAGGTAGTTACTATTCAATAGCCTACATCTCTTGAATTTTAATTAAGAATTTCATAAAGCTTTAATATACAGAATGGTTGAAATGAGATGAATGAATTATTTTTGCCTTTATCACCCTTCAGGTTTGGCAATTCTCTACCAATGAACCAATCTTTTCATCCCCATGTACCTCCACATCAGAGCAAGAAATATTTTTTGGTTCCCATGATTGCTTTATCTACTGTTGTAGTATGAAAGGTCATCTCCAATGGAAATTTAAAACTACCTCAAGGGTATATTCAACACCGTTTGCTTTCCATAACCATAATCGTAGCAATGAAATGTTACTGGCAGCAGCATCTACTGATGGGAAACTGTGGATCCTGGAATCTAAGAGTGGACAATTGCAAACTGTGTATGAACTTCCCGGAGAAGTTTTCTCTTCTCCCGTGGTCTGGGAATCAATGCTTATTATTGGATGTAGAAATAATTATGTTTATTGTCTGGATCTATTGGGTGGCAATAAAAAGTAATCAAGTACAGTCTTTATTGGAATACATCTGAGATGTTTGAAAATATTTTACCATTATAGAGCATGTGAATAGTCTTATTTTATAATAAAGATTATATATTTTGCTTTAAGGAACTTGTCTATTACACTTTATTGGAGAACATCTACATTTTTCTTCCTGTAGGAGCAACAAATACTTTTAAAAGGAGTTATAGAATAAAAACAACATATATAGTAGCACTTTCTTTTAATTAGGCTACAGATATTTTACTTTTTCTTTTTCTTTTCTTTTTTTTTTTTTAAATAAAAGACCTCTGACTGAAAAAAGACCAGAATATACTTGGTGGACTTGGTGGGTTAAAAACAGTCTATGATGTAATATACCATTCACTCATATATACTGAGATTCATAACAAAAGGTTTTTAAAGGTAGGATCTATTTATCAAATTAGGTTCCTTATTTAGTATTTCTATTTTAAATTTGGGGTAACATTGGTTAATAACAGTATGTAAATTTCAGGTGTATAACTTTATAATTCGACATCTGTATACTCTATTGTATGCTTACCAACTGAAGTCACCGGATATTTGACCCATATATTTGACCTACTTTACCGTATATTTGACCCACATTACCCTCTTTATCCTCCCTCCACCCTCCTTCCCCTCTGGTAACCACCATTCTATTGTCTATATCTATGAGTTTGTTTGTTTTGTTGTTGCTTTTTGTTTTATATCCCCCATAAGTGAAATAATAAGGTTCTTATCCTTTTCCATCCGACTTATTTCACTTAGCATTATACTCTCAAGATCCATCCAGTGTTTCAAATGGCAATATTTCATCTTTTTATGGCTGAATAGTATTCCATTGTTTATATGTACCACATCTTCTTTAGCCAATCATCAATCAAAAGACACAGGTTGTTTCCATGTCTTGGCTATTGTGAATAATACTACAATGAGCACAGGGATACAAAAATCTTTACAAATAAATTTTAAACTTTTCAGGTGGATACCCAGAAGAAGGATTGCTGGGTCATATGGTAATTCTATTCTTGATTCTTTGAGGAACCACCATACTGTTTTTCATAGTGGCTGTACCAATTTACATTCCCATCAGCAGTGTGTGCCGGGATTCCCTTTTCTCCACACCTCTCCAACACTTATTTCTTGTCTTATTGATAATAGCCATTCTAACAGGTAGGAGGTAGTATCTCATTGTGGTGTTGATTTATATTCCTCTTATAGCTAGTAAGGTTGAGCATCTTTTCATATATCTGTTAGTTATCTGTATGTCTTCCTTGGAAAAGTGTCTTCAGTTCTTCTGCCACGTTTTAATTGAATTGTGTTTTTACTGTTGAGTTGTATGAGTTTTTCATGTTTTGGATTTTAGTCCCTTATTGGAGGTATCATTTGAAAGTATCTTCTCCCATTTGGTTGTTTACCTTTTGTTGATGGTTTCTTTTGCTGTTCAGAAGCTTTTTAGTTTGATGTAGTTTCATTTATTTTTGTTTTTTATTTCCCTTGCCTTTGGGGTTAAGTTCATAAAAACCCCTCTGAGACCAAGGTCCATATGTTTAGTACCTGTTTTCTTCTATGTATTTTGTTTTTTAGGTCTTTCATCTATTTGAGATTTTGTGTATGGTGTCAGCATACTGGTTTCATCCTTTTGCATGTGCCTTTCCAGTTTTCCCAACACCATTCATTGAAGAAACTTCCCTTTCTCCATTGTATGTTTTTGATTCCTTTGTTGAAAATTAGTTGCCTATGTATGTGTGGGTTTATTTCTGGGCTCTCAATTCTATTCCATTAGTTTGTGTATCTGTTTTTCTGACAATATCATACTGTTTTGATTACTGTAACTTTATAGCATAGTTCAAAGTCAGGGAGTGTGATACCTCTGGCGTTTTTTTGTTTTTGTTTTTTTTCCTTCCCTCAGGATTGCTTTGGCTGTTCAGGGTCTTTTGTGGTTCCATACAAATTTAAGGATTTTTTGTTCTATTTCTGTGAAAAATGACACTGAGATTTTAATTGGGATTGCTTTAGGTACTATGGCCATTCAAACAACGTTAATTCTTCTAATCTACGAACAAGGAAAATTTTTCCATTTCTTTGTGTCTTCTTATTCTTTTTTTTTTAACTTTTTTTCCCAACTTTATATAATTGGCATAAAACATTGTGTTAAATATACAACATGATGATTTGTTATACATATATACTGCAAAATAACTACCTTAATAAAGTTAGTTAACACATTCATCACCTCACATGATTACCTTTTTTGGGGTATGTGTGCAATTGAAAATATTTAGTATCTACTTGCTTAGCAACTTTCAAGAATACAATAGAGTATTGTTAAATATAGTCACCATGCTTGTATGTTAAAAGGTCCCCAGAAGTATTCATCTTATAACTGGAAGTTTGTACAGTTTGATCACTATTATCCATTTCCCCCACCCACCCCCCTCCCCTGGCAACCACTAATCTATTATGTTTCTATGGGTTTGACTTTGAAATTTTTTCAGATTTATATATTAGATCATACAGTATTTGTCTTTCTCTGACTTATTTCACTATATGAGTTTGTTTGTTGCTTTTGTTTTATAACATTATTAACATAATGACCTCAGTGTTCATCTATGTTGTTGCAAATGTCAAGATATACTTTTCATCGGTGAAAAATTATTAACGTGACATTTTCTTTATCCATTCATCTGTCAACAGAGTCTTACGTTGTTTCCATGTTTGTGAATAATGTTCTAATAAACTTGGGGGTGTAGCTATCTCTTTGAGAATGTGATTTAATTTTATTTGTATATACATATATACAGAAGTAGGATTGCTGAATCATATGGTAGTTTTATTTTTAATTTTATGAGCAACCTCCATACTGTTTTATAGTGGCTGCACCAGTTTACATTCCCACTAGCAGTGCCGAAAGGGTTCTCCTTTCTCCACATCCTCGTAAACAATTACTATTTCTTGTCTTTTTGATAATACTCATTCTTACAGGAGTTAGGTGGTATCCCATTGTGGTTTTAATTTTGCCTTCTCCTAATGATTAGTGATGTTAAACACATTTTCATGTACCTCTTAGCCATTTGCATAACTTTTTTCTTAATTTTTTCTTATGGTGACATTGGCTAACAAAATCCAATAAGTTTCAGCTATACATTTTAACAGTGAAGCATATATATATTTACACTGTGGTGTAACTATGTGGAGGTGAACACACTTCCCATAGTTAGATTTCTTTCTGTCACCACATATTTGACCCCTTTTACCCTATCTACCTACCCCTTCCCTACCCTCTGGTAACCACAAGTCTATTGTCCATGTCCATTAGTCTCTGTTTGTTTGTCCTGTTCATTTGTTGCTTTTAGGTTTATATCCCACATATAAGGGATAGCATGTGATTTTCAACTTTTTCTGTCTGGCTTATTTCGCTTAGCATAATTATCTCGAGGTCCATCCATGTTGTCGCAAATGGCAGTATTTCATCTCTTCTTATGGCTGAATAATATTCCACTGTATATATGTACCACAGCTTCTTTAGCCAATCATCTATTGTAGGACACTTCGATTGCTTCCATGTACTGGACATCTTTTTGGATGTGGGTTTTCAAGTCTTTGGGGCAAATACCCAGTTATACCGGATTGCTGGGTCATATGGTAGATCAATTCTTAGTTTTTTGAAGAACCTCCATACTGTTTTCCACTGTGGCTGTACCAATTTGCAGTCCCACCAGCAGTGTATGAGGGTTCCTTTTTCTCTACATCCTCTCCAACACTTGTTATTACTTGTCCTGTTGATAACAGCTATTCTAACAGGTGTGAGATGGTATCTCATTGTGGTTTTGATTCATATTTCCCTAATAGCTAGTGATGATGAGCATCTTTTCATATGTTTGTTGGCCATTTGTATATTTTCTTGGGAGAAGTGTCTATTCAGGTTCTCTGCCCAATTTTTGATTGGATCATTTGGTTTTTTTTTTTTTTTTTTTATTTCAAGTTAGTATTCCCTTTTCTCATATTCGGTTTCTTAATCTTTACTTTACCAAAACAAAAGCTTTATATTGTCCACTTCTATCAGACAGTGTCCTAATTGTCCCA